CGGTGCTCGACCTCTTCTCCGTGTGCCGTGTCCCGGACTCCCGGAAGGCGACGAGCGCGCGGAAGAAGGCCCGGATCACGGCCCATCTGAAGGTGGCCACGGGGTCGAGGCCCATCAGGCCACAGACGAGCGCGTTACGGCTGCTCTTCAGCAGAGCCACGATATCCGGACGCATGTGGTCCGTGTTCTTCTCACGGAAGTCCTACGCGACAAACATCTCACAGCTTCAGCTTCATGATGGCGGTCAATATATGGGGCAGTGTACAGGAGACACTCGACAAATGAGAATATGGTGCAAAAGTTCATTTATTTCAGTAATTCAACTTAAAAGGTGAAACTATTATATTATATAGACTCATATAGACTATTACAAGCCTTTATTTGTTATAATTTCGATGATTATGTCTTACAGCTTATGAAAACCCCAAATTCAAAATTAGAATATTGTGAAAAGGGTTTCATAAGCTGTAAGCCATAATCATCAAAATGATAACAAATAAAGGCTTGAAATATCTCACTTTGCATGTAATGAGTCTATATAATATATTAGTTTCACCTTTTAAGTTGAATTACTGAAATAAATGAACTTTTGCACCATATTCTCATTTTTCAAGTTTCACCTGTAGTTTTATAAGTTTTTTTTTTAGCAAATCATCTCCATAAATTATGGTACATTAGTTCATATATTATTGTAATTATATTACCACAAAACAACCCTGTGATGATGCAACGGTTACCGTATTAATCGTGCACTAAACTCAATACAAATTCCACAATATAAATAAATAGTGCCTTAGAGGCGCAATCATTTTATAACAAAGTTTAAAAAAAAATATATATTTTGGCTGATCATCTGATGCAAGCAGCCATCGATAAATTATTGTTCATATAATTTTCTTTTTTCAAAACAGTTTTTTATAATTTGTGCTTTATTGAATTTGCAACAATAACTGTGTGATGTGACACCTTATTTTACACTGAACGTGTGTAAAGTGTTTCATTATGTTTATCATTCAAATCATCTGTAAATTATGCCACGGTGTTAAAAATGTGTATTTGTTGCCTGCCTTAAACTTTTCTTTTATTTCTGTTGGTCTAATATCCGGTTTTGCTTCCTTTTCTTGATCTCAGGTGTCAGAATTAATATAATCTCTCAGAATTTCATTTCTACATTCTCACATATTGACATTTATTCAGTAACTGGAAATATGAACCATTTTATGAAGCTGTTAAATTTGCTTTTACCTTTGAAAGTTATGTTCCTGTTGATTTCACTTTATTAAACTTCATATATATGACTTTCTGTATTTCGGGGGCAACTAGACATTCACAAACATGATGAACTTTTGCACGATATTCTAATTGTTCGAGTTTCACCTGTATATAAACACAAGTGTATTTTTAGGATAATTTCCCAGCATGCAATAGCCATCATGTCACCGTCTCGGTTAACTATAGACCTGATACACTCCAGCTATGAGTAACACACTTCTATTTAAAATAACTGTGGATTTGGTTACATGTCGTTTATGCCCCAATAACTTGCGAGATGTTTGATATTCCATCGTGTAAGAAAAGCAAGTTTCGCCTTGTTTAGTCTAGACGTCAAGGCTGTGTCCGGACGGCTATTAGACGGCTTTTAAACGTAAAATCGCGTGCTGGGTTATTTTGTTTTTCACCATTTGTATCATGAATACTGCAAAATAGTCAGATTAGTTTACTTGTACACCAGGGTTATTATAGGTAACTATAACTAAACCCATAAAAAGCATTTTATTTACTTGAAAATAAAATAAAATATAATAAAATAAAACTTTTTGTTTGTTTGTTAGGAGCCAAGGCAACATCTTATTTAATTTAGTTTAATTGCTAGGCCTATATTTAGTTTATTGCAAAATATGATTATAGAATCTATATAGACATTACACACAAAAAAAACTTTTTTTAATTAAAATTTAAATGATAATGGAAAATATACAAAAATACTAATTCAAAATATTAATAAAAACTGTAGTAGTGTCTCAATGATACAAAAATAACAGAAAATGAAGATGTTTGATGTGAAGCGGCTGTTCTCATAATCAACACTGATGTCGCATCTGCTGGAAACACTCTCCAGTGAACACTATTATTAATATAAACATACAGACCACAACAGTTGTGTGTGTGTGTGTGTGTGTGTGAGAGTGTGTGTCTGTGTGTGAGAGTGTGTGTCTGTGTGTGTGTGTCTGTGTGTTTGTGGCGTGTGGTGTGTGTAGCGTGTGTGTGGCGTGTGGTGTGTGTAGCGTGTGTGTGTGTGTGTGTGTGTGTGTAGATTTAACCCTCTCTGCCTAACATGTGCTCGAGATACACTCGTAGCCGAGGGGCCAATCCAACCAATCAGATTAAATCGCAGAATTAGGTCACTGGAAGTGGTGTGTGTGTGTGTGTGTACATACATACATACATATGCAAATGCTTACTACTTAATCTCTCTCTCTCACACACACACACACATATGGAAGCTTGTTTCCGCCACAGAATAAAAAAATGTACCGGTAATTGCAAGTTTATATCTCACGATTCTGAGAAAAAAGTGAAATATAAACTTGCAATTCTGACTCTTTTTATAATCACAATTCTGACTTTATATTCACAATTCTGACTATTTTTCTATTGCAATTCAGACTTTATAGTCACAATTCTGACTTTTATCTCAGAATTGAGAGATATAAACTTGTAATTGAGAGAAAAAAGTCAGAGTTGAGAGATAAAAAGTTAATTCTGCGGCAGAATCCAGGCATGACTCTCTGAAAGGCAGGTTCTGACCTTGACGCCGTATTTGACCTTGCCGGCGTAGTGGCGAATGATGAACGCCGGCTCCATGACGGCCGGGAACTCGATGAAGACGCTTCCCTCGTGCTGACGCTTAAACTTGTCCAGCAGAGTCTGATTGGACGCCTGCGGAAAACTACAAACCAACAACAACTCTCATTCATTCCTAATGAAATATACATTATATGAAAGGTTTAAAACTCTCAAGTCATTAATTATGATATTTTTTTATAATAACATAATATGATAATGTTTCCAATATATGATAACTGCACTGTGATATGAGTCAAATGTGACCCTGGATCACTAACCCAGTCTCGAGTCGCACGGGTGTATCTGTGGCAATAGCCAACTATACATCGTATGGGTCAAAATTATACATTTTTCTTTTATGCCAAAAATCGTTAGGATGTTAAGTAAAGATCATGTTCCATGAAGATATTTGTAAAATTTCCTACCATAAATATATAAAATATATATATTTTTGTGAGTGGATGCAGCAAAAGCGTGAACATTAATGCACAACTTTAAAGGAGATTTTCTCAATGTTTCGATTTTTTTGCACCTTCAGATTCAAGACTTTCAATAGTTGAATCTCTGACAAATATTGTCCTATCCTAACAAACCACACATCACTGGAAAGCTTATTTATTCAGCTTTCATGTGATGTATAAATCTCAACTTTAAAAAAACATTGCCCCTTGTGACTGGTTTTGTGGTCCAGGGTCACAGATGTGTTGTGTTTGGTATAATGTGGTGAGACGCACTTGCACTCTTCGTCCAGCAGGTGGAGCAGCGCTGTGGGCTTCTTACTGATGAGGTTAATGCAGGCCGTGTTGTCGATGTACTCGATCATGTGCCAGCTGATGCCCTCCGACCGATACTCCTCCTGAGAGAGCCAACGTCACATGATCAACTCGCACTCGTCACATGATAAACTCTCTCCCGTCACATGATCAACTCTCACTGTCACATGATCAACTCTCACTGTCACATGATCAACTCTCTCCCGTCACATGATCAACTCTCACTGTCACATGATCAACTCACACTCGTCACATGATCAACTCACACTCGCCACATGATCAACTCTCTCCTGTCACATGATCAACTCACTCGTCACATGATCAACTCACACTCGTCACATGATCAACTCTGTCAAATGATCAACTCTCACTCGTCACATGATCAACTCACTCGTCACATGATCAACTCTTTCCACTCACATGATCAACTTTTTTTTTACTGTAATATAGTTTAATATTAATAGGGATACATTTCATAACATCAAACATGAGGCCACAATCTGACTACTCAAATGCAATGAATAATATAAGAGTTTAGACCGTAATAAAACTAAACTAAATACTTGAAAGAAAAGAAAAAAATCATGTTTAAGAGTAGTTCACAGAAAAAAAAAAGTTTTCCCTTTTTTGTATGAACTATTGCTCTATACTCAAAGAACAAACCAAAACCTCGGTCTCTTCAAAGCTGAATCCGCATGAAGATCTTCAGCACTGCTTGTGTCACCAGACTCCAGTGTTTGCCGAGGTGTATTAATGACCACTGATGACCGCAGTGCGCCGTCACTCGTGAGATCAGTCGGGCTGGGGTTTTACCTGCTCCAGTTTGAAGATGTGCTGGTTGAAGTAATGCTGCAGCGTCTCATTGGCGAAGTTGATGCAGAACTGCTCGAAGCTGTTGTTCTCGTAGTCCTCGAAGCCGAAGATGTCCAGCACGCCGATGGACAGGATCTGAAACACGACACGTTTCACATCAACACCAGTGAACTACATCGGCAGGAGAACTGGGAACATGATGTCGGATCACGTCACGCGCCAGTTCACCACTGTCACTTTCAGGACCTGAGAAAGTGATCCTTCAGAAATCACTCTAATATGAGGATCTGATGCTCAAGAAACATTTATGATTATTATCAATGTTGAAAACAGTTATTTACATTTTTATTTCAGGATTCTTTGATGAATAGAAATCTCAAAAGAACAACATTTATGTGAAAGCTTTTGTTACATTAAACACTAACATTCAAAAGTTTGGGGTCAGTAAGAATTTTTATTAAATTTTTTAGGGGGAAATAAATAAAAGAAATCAATACTTTTATTAGTTAAATTGATCAAAAGTGACAGTACAGACATTTATAATGGTACAAACGATTCTATTTCAGATAAACGCTCTTCTTTTGAAGTTTCTATTCATCAAAGAATCCTAAGAACAAAATTGTACACAATTGTTTTCAATTATTCAATTATTGTTTTCACTGATAATAATTATAAATGTTAAAAAATCCTCAGATCATCATATTAGAATGATTTCTGAAGGATCATGTGTGTTCGGTTTTCCAAGAATTTCCCCACCGAACGGGGCGTCAGGAGAGAACACGTTGCATAACTCAATTGTGGTTTTGTTTACTTGGATTTATTATTTCCACATATAGTTGATTTGTCCACAAACAAAGAGGTTATAAACCTATAGACACAAAAAGACAGTGTAAATGACAATATTAATAACACTTACATATCATACTATAAATTCTGAACAATATAAAATATTAATAAACATTAATTCTAATAAATACTTCGTAATAATATATCAACATTCTCAATGAATACTATAGTATAATTTAGCAATTAATCTAAATGACTATAAACATTAAGCACAGAAATGCAACAGCTTCACACAATACACCAATATTCAATAAAACCAATCGCTCTAAATCAAAGAGATATTCTCAGTGCTTGGCCCGACGTGAATCTAGTGAGTGTAGTTTATGTAGTGGCGCTTTAGCATAGTAACTCATTATAAACGCAAGACAACAAACTACATTTCCCATCCGGCATCGCAAACCAGGAAGTATCTCATATGAAAGTGAAACGCTCCAAATCCAAACATTTCCTTAAGTTCTACCGCGAATACTATCAATACGACAACATTAAACATTGATTGCAAACGAGGTTCTCAGTGTTCCCACAGCAACATTTACCAACATTCATCTACACACAAACTGCGCGCATATGCCGCGGTTGTCAGTAGTTACACAAACAGACAGGCAAACTTTCCCCCGCATCTCAATAAGCGTTTCATTATTAAACAGCAGCGGTGGCGCGTCTTTCCCGACGAGACAACATGCAAACAAACTCTTGATTCTGCGTATATATCTCAAGCTCATGATATCACACCGTTTTAAGATCTCACTGATTTGCGTTTCAATGCTTAACTAGTCCCTCCTTCAATCAGGAAGGTGAACCTCCCACCTATTAACCTGCGTTCTCTACCAAACACCCGTGCTGTAGTGAGCGCAACACCTCCCACTTGACCGCGTAATCATGTGATTCCAAGCGGTCACAGCTTTACATTTCATAAAACATATTATTTTTTTTATTTTTTTTTATTATTTTTTATAAAACCATTATTGTCTCTGTTAACCTCCACTGACAGATATATAGTATTCTGTCGGGGGTTGGTCCATTCCCTTGAAAGGTAGTTCAAATAATGGTAAAGAAACAAAGTTCTAAGAGTCATTGGTCTCCCACAGGAATGAGGACTACCAGTCTCCTCACATCTCTCCGTAGGATGACTGATGTCGGCTGCTGAGGGATCCTCTTAAGTTGCCCACTTACTTGGGAGGCAGGAAGGCCTGCACATGCCTTAACATCAGCATCTCTCACAAGTCCTTTCTTATCAGGGTACACGGCCTGGATCCGTCCAAGCCGGAATTGCCCTCGTAATGCGTTTTGATCAGCAATCCAAACAATGTCACCAATTTCTACGTTCTTTTGGGTCCGGTGCCACTTTGGTCTGATGAATAAGTTAGGTCCGGCGAGTTCGCTCCACTTCTTCCAGAACATATCCACACCTATCTGGATGGACCTGAGACGGCGCCAGGGATGAATACACAAGTCAATTCCTCTTGTATCTCCACTTTGCCTTGTCCTCCCGAGAAGCAAATCATTGGGGGTCAAATACTCTACAGAGTCCTCTTGTTCTTGTGCTCTAGCGTCAATCGGCCTTTCATTTGTGAGGTTAGCTGCCTGGAAGAAAAGTGTTTGGAGCTCACCCCAAGTGAGTGAGTTTGTTATGCCTCCAAGGCTAGTGAGGGCTCTTTTAACAAGTTTAACTGCAGCTTCCGCAGCCCCATTACGATGTGGTGCGTCAGCCGGATGAAAGTTCCATGCCCACACGGTCCCATTCTTGGCGGCTTTGTCCTCTATGGCTACTTCCTGTAAAGTCTCCAAGTACCTGTGCAAGTCTTGTAGGGCAGGTTTAGCTCCAATAAAATTGGTACCCCTATCTGACCACAATTTTCTGGGATTGCCTCTCATTGCTACAAAGCGAAAGTAAGTTTGGAGAAAGCTTTCAGATGATTGATCGTCAACTAGATCCACATGAACTGCTCTTGATGCCATACGGCAGAATACTAGGCCCCAAACTTTCTTTCCTGTTCTTTTCTTGACAGCATCCTTGATCTCAAAGGGGCCAAAGAGGTCAAGTGTGGTATATTCAAATGGGTTAGCACGCTGTGATCGTTCTGGCGGCAGGTCACTCATCATTTGTTGGCACATCTTACTTTTTCTCTTGCGACATTCAATACAGTCATTTACAACTTTCTTCACTATCCTACGACCCTGCATAATCCACGCCTTCCTCCTGGTACGCAGAAGTGTAGCAGCAACACCTTCATGGTTCTTGTTATGAGCTTCTCTTGACAGTAGTGTTGCGAGCCATGAACTGAAAGGAATTAAGGGAACAGCTGTCCCATCTTCCTTCCAGCACTGGATTCGTCCTCCACAGAGAAGAATTCCTGTGCTCTCGTCTTTGTGGACCACCAAGCGGTTAAGTGTTGAGTCCAGAAACTGACAACCATCTTGGGCGGCGAAGACCAGGTTTTGGAATGCTTGTGCTCTCTCCTCAGTTGACAGGATAGAATTGTTTGCCTCCCACTTTGATGAGTCTGGTGCCTGGCATTTTCTCAGCCAAGTTACTGCAGCCCGTCGAGTCCAGGCTGTGGAACTACACAGCTTGGACAGAGAACTGAAACGTTGAGGTTCCACAAGGCGCACTAGCCCAATTGCCCAAGGCTTTCTCTGCTTGTTTGCTACTGATGTTACACCCGGGATAGCTGGTGATGTCGATCTATTATTAACTCTTTCATTCTTGAGGTTCGCCTTAATGTCAGGCCCATTGAGGCCAGTTTTTTCTTTAGACTGGGCCCTAGTGACCACTGCTGAGAAGGCTTTCCGCTGAAGTTTTCCCACATCTTCAGCAGCAGAGGGTATAATCTCACTAGCCATCTTCATAGGCCAGTCGGTCTTGGGATTTTTCAGAAACTCAGGGCCTTGCTGCCATTCTGACCCTTCGCCAAGTTCCTCAGGAGTTGCACCTCTGGTCAGTATGTCCGCAATATTTCTTCTGCCTTCAATCCACCTCCAATCTTCCACATTTCCAGCTTTCTGAATCTCACCGATTCGGTTAGCGAAAAAGGTCTGGAAGCCATAGCTGTCCTTTTGGATGGCTGCCAGAATTGTTTGGCTGTCCACGAAGTGAATCCATTCCTTGACTTTAATATGGCAGTGTTTCTCAAAATATCTTATAAGGCGGGTAGCAAACACCGCACCACAAAGCTCTGATTTGATCACATCTCCTTTCAAGTCAAGAGGTGTGAGTTTCGCTTTGGATTCTACCAACTTCACTTCAACTTTATCGCTGGTTTCCCACCTCAAATAAAGTACAGCCCCATAGGAGGATTCGCTTCCATCTGAAAACGTAATCCCTATTGGCAAACCTTTAGCTCCAGGCGGTGTAAGGCTTCTCTCAAATTTTACTTGACCAAGTCTCACGATTTCTTCAAAGAAAGTTATTGCGGCTTCTCTAAGTTTTTGTGAGAGAGGGAAATCCCATGTATTTTTAGATGGGTTGTCCCTACCAGCTTCCTGGAATGATTCCCGAACCAACATTATTCCCTTTTGTTTGGCTGGTGAAGCAAGACCAACCGGGTCATATACTGCAGCTATCTGGCTAAGAAGCATATGTCGGGTAAGGGGGTCTGGTGTTCCTTCCCTGACATCCTCCATGCTCAGGTTAACTCCAGTCCTCATTTTCCCTCTTTTCTTGGAGAAGTTGATAGACGTCTGCAACCGAAGTTTGTCAGTTTCAAGTTCGTAACCGACCCCGAGTGCTTTGTTCTCCCCATCATGAATCTGGTTAGGCAGTACCAAGGTCCTCGGTATAATGGCTTCAGTAGCGACTCCACCCCTCCCACTTTGGCATGATAGAACCCATGGTTTCAGGAAGAAGCCTCCCGCTTTTAACATCTTCTCTACCCCTTTGGTGATCTTTTCCAATGCCTCAGGATCATTGTGTGAGGTTAGAATATCGTCCACATAGCTGTCCTCAATAAGAGCCCGGCGTTCTTCCACCATATCAGCAAACTGAGGAAAGTTGGCAATTTCCCTCATTGCGACTTGGGCGATACATCCTGCGGGTTTATCACCGATATTCACTCTGACAACAGCAAACACCTCAATATCGTCTTAAGGATCGTCTCTCCAGAGGAATTGGTGGAGGTGAACTTCCTGATCTTTCAGCCACACTGAGTTATACATTTTCTTTACATCACCCAGTGCGGCATGGCGTCCACTCCTGAACCTCAACAGGACTCCTCTGATGGGATTAAGTACATCGGGACCTTTGTGGAGAAGATCATTCAGACTTATACCTTGATACTCTTGGCTACTATTCCACACAATTCTCACTGGGGTTGAAGAGGAATGCGGATTCAGTGCAACCAGATGGCTAATATACCACTTCGGTCCTTCCCACTTCTTTATTTCCTCTTCCGTGAGTTTAACAGCAGCTCCCCTTGACACCATCTCATGTATTTGCTCTTTGTATGTAGCTTTCCACATAGGTTCCTTCTCCAGACGCTTTTCAGTATTTCTGAATGTTGCCTCCACGGCCTGCCTATTGTCGGGCAGTGTTTTGAGGTCTGTCCTCCAGGGATAAGCCGCGTCCCAATGGGGAGAGTTGCTGTGCTTGTCCGCCAATACATATGTTAGACATTCTTTTATCTTTTCCAGGTCTCGCTCCTCCTTGAGGGTCATCTCTTTTCCTCCAGGAGGGCACCTACCACACTTACAACCACCACATTGAGGACTGCACGCAGCTCCAATGCTGTCCCACCTGAACCACTCAAGGACCTCATTGTAAGTGGTTTTAGTGCTTCGGACAAGTGCATCTCCTTCCTCCTCTTGAGGTAAGACAGTTTCTTTGTACGCCATCGAAGCTGATCTCATCGTCCTTGCAAGGTGTGTTTCAGAGTGGTATACTACCAAATCGACAGTCTCAATAAGATCAGGATGGGTACCTCCAACAGTCTTTCCCAGCGGACCATCCCAGAGGACGAGATCTCCTACTATTTTAATGTGCTGGGGAACAAGACGGCCTTCTCGATGACTGATAAGGAGGTCAATCTTTTTGGGACGAACTAGCTCGTCCCTGGGTACATTTGGAAAGAACTTCTGTAATTGCTTGGCTGTGACTGGCTGAGTCACCTCCGCGATGTCTTTCAACCCATAGCAGAAAATTCTATGCTCTGCTACCTCTCCCTTAGGTGTCTTCACTCTTAACCGTAGGGAATATCTTTTTGTAAAGACGGTCTTCTTCATCCCTCCTACTCCATGAACTATAAGCTTGATCTTCTCACCGCACAGTCCAAGGCGATCGGCTGTCTCATTGGTGATATAATTGGTGTCAGATGCGAGGTCGATTAGAGAGCCAATAAGGCAACCTGAGTTTGTCGTTACTTCCATCAGCATCATCACCACTGGATGCTCTTGCAATCCATCTCCAGCCGTGGCAGATACGGTAGTTGATATTCTGTTTGAGAACACATTCTTGTATTTCTCTCTTTGTTCTGGAGTCAGCTCCGCCAGAAACTCTTCTTTCTTGTTGGTTAGGCCAAGTGTCTTTCCTCCAACTTTTATAACGCTCTGCTCCTCACTGCTGCTGTCCTTCTTTGGAACCGGTGGCTTAGGACACAGAAGATAATTGTGGTCTGACACCCCTCCTTTCCGACAGTCTACTTTTGGGCAGAGGTATCTAGGTGTGCATCCTTTCCCATCCCTAGGGTGAGACCGCAAACACTTGAAGCACAACCCTAGCTTCTTCACATGGACCCCTTTTCTTGCGAGATCTTCCTCTCTGAAGACCTTGCACGCAAATAGCTTGCCACCATGAGAATGATCTCCACAGACAGTACAACTGGGGTAACCGTCCCTCTGACCTGCTGTGGATTTAGTGAAAGCCTTCCTCCCTCTCTTCTCGAAGTAATCCGCAGCACCCTTCTCAACAGAGCCTCTAACTGTGGGGCTTGGCTCTAACTGGTCCAACTCCTCAAGAATCTCCTCCTGCCTCTTTAGGAATCCTAGGAGGCAATCAAAATGATCCAGTGGAGAGAATCTGTTTGCTGGGTTAGTTTTGTGCATAATCCACTCCTTCTTGAGTGAACTGGGAAGCTTGCTTTCAAGCGATTGAGCAACAACACGGTTCTTCACGGCGTCCTCTTCACCGAGAATCTGGAGGTTAAACAGTGCCCTTTCCACAGCCTGGATCAATTCAATAGATCTTCTTGGATTGTTTCCTTTGACAGGGGGAAGAGACTGGACCTCATTAACGATCATAAGGACTATTTTCGCTCTGTTCCCGTATTTGCTGTCCAGCAACCTGAACATGTCGTCGGTGGTTCCACAGCGAGATAGCACAAGATCCTTCTTGACTTCTTTGTGGAGACTATTTAACAAGTGAAACTTTTTTATACATTCCACACCTTGTGGGTTACCCAATTCTTGTAGATCTTCCCACTCAATCTTCCAGCGATAATAGTCTCTCATGTCACCAGAGAAAGTGGGTAGCCGTACTTTTTCAAGGCTGATTTGAGGCTTGAGATTAGAGTTTCCTTTGATCCTTTCCGGGCTGCTTTGCTGTACGAGGGGCCGGGTGTTCATGCTCAATGCCCCCGTATACCTCCTGGGCTTCAGCTTGTGATCGGAAGACATGTCAGGGAGAGAGAGGAAAGAAGCATCTTGCATCGGATCCCCAGCTGCGCCGCTCTCATCTCCCAGATTTCTTCCTCTACCCTTTACTTGGTCTGCTTCATCCTCCTCCAGTTTGTCAGACAGCACCAGGACCCTCTTCTTTAGTGTCTTGTGGCGTGTCCTGAAATCTAACGCCTTCGAACCAGGAATCAACTCCTTCCATTCTACTAACATTTCTCCGAGTTCAACAACCTCTCTTTCAAGAGCTCTATTCCTTAACCTGCGGTCCTTGATTGACTTCCGAGGGTTAACTTCCTCTTCCTCTGCCTGCGTGATGGCCGTCTCAGCTGTTTTTACCTGTTTAAAAAACGCCTCCTCAGCGTAACTGGTCCAAAAGGTTTCCTGAGTGGCTACCTTTACCTCAAGGAACCGGTTTTCACACTCCATTGTCTTCACATCAATTTGATCCGCCGATGCTTTCACCTCTTCATCCGTTGACTCCCTCAGGGCTTCAACATACTCATGTCCCGCGTCTATGACTTTAGAAAAATCCGTCCTGAAAATCTTCCATTCTTTGAGAACCTCAGTCGGTTCCAAAAGCCCCGGTTTGGTGAGAATATGAGCCCTCTTTGTGAACGAAGCCTGTGCTCTTGATCGCACACTTTTTAACTTTTCCAAGTCTGCCATAGTTACTCCTTTTGCGTTGACCAAAAAGCTGTCACACCCAATGTGTATTTCCGCTCCTTTACTTTAATCAACAGGCAGTTTAATTAATGGAAAACTTGGGGTCCGTCAGAGAAAGTGAGAAGCCAGCTGTTTTGGGTTGGTTGAAGCTTTCCTGGATTGATTGAACTTCCTTCATGAAGCACTGCACTCACTCCAGTGCAGTGAACCACGGTTTATAACTGTTCGGTTTTCCAAGAATTTCCCCACCGAACGGCGTCAGGAGAGAACACGTTGCATAACTCAATTGTGGTTTTGTTTACTTGGATTTATTATTTCCACATATAGTTGATTTGTCCACAAACAAAGAGGTTATAAACCTATAGACATAAAAAGACAGTGTAAATGACAATATTAATAACACTTACATATCATACTATAAATTCTGAACAATATAAAATATTAATAAACATTAATTCTAATAAATACTTCGTAATAATATATCAACATTCTCAATGAATACTATAGTATAATTTAGCAATTAATCTAAATGACTATAAACATTAAGCACAGAAATGCAACGGCTTCACACAATACACCAATATTCAATTAAACCAATCGCTCTCAATCAAAGAGATATTCTCAGTGCTTGGCCCGACGTGAATCTAGTGAGTGTAGTTTATGTAGTGGCGCTTTAGCATAGTAACTCATTATAAACGCAAGACAACAAACTACATTTCCCATCCGGCATCGCAAACCAGGAAGTATCTCATATGAAAGTGAAACGCTCCAAATCCAAACATTTCCTTAAGTTCTGCCGCGAATACTATCAATACGACAACATTAAACATTGATTGCAAACGAGGTTCTCAGTGTTCCCACAGCAACATTTACCAACATTCATCTACACACAAACTGCGCGCATATGCCGCGGTTGTCAGTAGTTACACAAACAGACAGGCAAACTTTCCCCCGCATCTCAATAAGCGTTTCATTATTAAACAGCAGCTTACCGGTGGCGCGTCTCTCCCGACGAGACAACATGCAAACAAACTCTTGATTCTGCGTATATCTCAAGCTCATGATATCACACCGTTTTAAGATCTCACTGATTTGCGTTTCAATGCTTAACTAGTCCCTCCTTCAATCAGGAAGGTGAACCTCCCACCTATTAACCTGCGTTCTCTACCAAACACCCGTGCTGTAGTGAGCGCAACAATGTGACACTGAAGACTGGAGTAATGATGCTGAAAATTCAGCTTTGATCACAGGAATAAATTACATTTTAAAATATATTAGAAATTGTCATAATATTTCACAATATTACTGTTTTTTTTTAATCTTTTTTAAATGTTGGTGAGCAGAAGAGACTTCTTAACAACATTAAAAATCTTACCGATCCAAAACTTTTGACTGGTAGTGTATATTATGAGCTGCCTTTCATACAGCGTATTACACATAAAATACTTAGTAAAAGTATTATACTAGTAAAATACTAGTATGGAGCAGCGGTGATGATTTGTGAAGGTCAGGAAACAGGAGTAGTAGTAGTAGTGTGTGTGTGTGTGTGTGTGTGTGTGTGTGTGTGTGTGTGTACCTTGGCCGAATCTTCCAGGTCTTTGTTGTAGAGCAGCGCGTGATTGGTGCGGAAGACGATCCAGTCGAACAGAGCGCCGTAAAGAGACTTGGCCATTGAGTCCCTCACCGTCCCTGCCTGCACACACACACAAAAATAAAGTAGTTTTTTTTTTTTTTTTTTTTTTTACATGGAAATATACATTGCAATAAAAATGTTAAATCTTCTAATATTTACACAGTATCTCTCAGTGTCTCTCTGTGTCTCTCAGTGTCTCTCAGTGTCTCTCTGTGTCTCTCAGTGTCTCTCAGAGTCTCTCAGAGTCTCTCTGTGTCTCTCAGTGTCTCTCAGAGTCTCTCAGAGTCTCTCTGTGTGTCTCAGTGTCTCTCTGTGTCTCTCAGTGTCTCTCAGAGTCTCTCAGAGTCTCTCTGTGTGTCTCAGTGTCTCTCTGTGTCTCTCTGTGTCTCAGTGTCTCTCTGTGTCTCTCTGTGTCTCTCAGAGTCTCTCAGTGTCTCTCTGTGTCTCTCAGAGTCTCTCTGTGTCTCTCTGTGTCTCTCTGTGTCTCTCTGTGTCTCTCAGTGTCTCTCAGTGTCTCTCTGTGTCTCTCAGAGTCTCTCTGTGTCTCTCAGAGTCTCTCTGTGTCTCTCTGTGTCTCTCTGTGTCTCTCAATGTCTCTCAGTGTCTCTCTGTGTCTCTCAGAGTCTCTCAGAGTCTCTCTGTGTCTCTCAGTGTCTCTCTGTGTCTCTCAGAGTCTCTTTGTGTCTCTCAGTGTCTCTCAGTGTCTCTCAGTGTCTCTCTGTGTCTCTCAGTGTCTCTCAGAGTCTCTCAGAGTCTCTCTGTGTGTCTCAGTGTCTCTCAGTGTCTCTCAGAGTCTCTCTGTGTCTCTCAGAGTCTCTCTGTGTCTCTCTGTGTCTCTCAGTGTCTCTCAGTGTCTCTCAGTGTCTCTCTGTGTCTCTCAGTGTCTCTCAGAGTCTCTCAGAGTCTCTCTGTGTCTCTCAGTGTCTCTCAGAGTCTCTCAGAGTCTCTCTGTGTGTCTCAGTGTCTCTCTGTGTCTCTCAGTGTCTCTCAGAGTCTCTCAGAGTCTCTCTGTGTGTCTCAGTGTCTCTCTGTGTCTCTCAGAGTCTCTCTGTGTCTCTCTGTGTCTCAGTGTCTCTCTGTGTCTCTCAGTGTCTCTCAGAGTCTCTCAGTGTCTCTCAGAGTCTCTCAGTGTCTCTCTGTGTCTCTCAGTGTCTCTCTGTGTCTCTCAGAGTCTCTCAGAGTCTCTCAGAGTCTCTCAGTGTCTCTCAGTGTCTCTCAGTGTCTATCAGTGTCTCTCAGAGTCTCTCTGTGTCTCTCAGAGTCTCTCAGTGTCTCTCAGTGTCTCTCAGTGTCTCTCAGAGTCTCTCTGTGTCTCTCAGTGTCTCTCAGTGTCTCTCTGTGTCTCTCAGTGTCTCTCAGAGTCTCTCAGTGTCTCTCAGTGTCTCTCAGTGTCTCTCTGTGTCTCTCAGTGTCTCTCAGTGTCTCTCAGAGTCTCTCAGTGTCTCTCTGTGTCTCTCTGTGTCTCTCAGAGTCTCTCTGTGTCTCTCTGTGTCTCTCTGTGTCTCTCAGTGTCTCTCAGTGTCTCTCTGTGTCTCTCAGAGTCTCTCAGAGTCTCTCTGTGTCTCTCAGTGTCTCTCTGTGTCTCTCAGAGTCTCTCTGTGTCTCTCTGTGTCTCAGTGTCTCTCAGTGTCTCTCAGAGTCTCTCAGTGTCTCTCTGTGTCTCTCTGTGTCTCTCAGAGTCTCTCTGTGTCTCTCAGTGTCTCTCAGTGTCTCTCTGTGTCTCTCTGTGTCTCTCAGAGTCTCTCTGTGTCTCTCTGTGTCTCTCAGTGTCTCTCAGTGTCTCTCTGTGTCTCTCAGTGTCTCTCAGAGTCTCTCAGAGTCTCTCTGTGTCTCTCAGTGTCTCTCAGAGTCTCTCAGAGTCTCTCTGTGTGTCTCAGTGTCTCTCTGTGTCTCTCAGTGTCTCTCAGAGTCTCTCAGAGTCTCTCTGTGTGTCTCAGTGTCTCTCTGTGTCTCTCAGAGTCTCTCTGTGTCTCTCTGTGTCTCAGTGTCTCTCTGTGTCTCTCAGTGTCTCTCAGAGTCTCTCAGTGTCTCTCAGAGTCTCTCAGTGTCTCTCTGTGTCTCTCAGTGTCTCTCTGTGTCTCTCAGAGTCTCTCAGAGTCTCTCTGTGTCTCTCAGAGTCTCTCTGTGTCTCTCAGAGTCTCTCAGTGTCTCTCAGCGTCTCTCTGTGTCTCTCAGAGTCTCTCAGCGTCTCTCAGCGTCTCTGTGTCTCTCAGTGTCTCTCAGTGTCTCTCAGTGTCTCTCAGAGTCTCTCTGTGTCTCTCTGTGTCTCAGTGTCTCTCAGTGTCTCTCAGAGTCTCTCAGTGTCTCTCAGAGTCTCTCAGAGTCTCTCAGTGTCTCTCTGTGTCTCTCTGTGTCTCTCTGTGTCTCTCAGAGTCTCTCAGTGTCTCTCAGTGTCTCTCAGAGTCTCTCAGTGTCTCTCAGTGTCTCTCAGTGTCTCTCAGTGTCTGTCAGTGTCTCTCTGTGTCTCTCAGAGTCTCTCAGTGTCTCTCAGTGTCTCTCAGAGTCTCTCAGAGTCTCTCAGAGTCTCTCAGTGTCTCTCTGTGTCTCTCAGTGTCTCTCAGAGTCTCTCTGTGTCTCTCAGAGTCTCTCAGTGTCTCTCAGTGTCTCTCAGTGTCTCTCTGTGTCTCTCAGTGTCTCTCTGTGTCTCTCAGAGTCTCTCTGTGTCTCTCAGTGTCTCTCAGTGTCTCTCAGTGTCTCTCAGAGTCTCTCTGTGTCTCTCTGTGTCTCTCAGTGTCTCTCAGTGTCTCTCTGTGTCTCTCAGTGTCTCTCAGAGTCTCTCTGTGTCTCTCAGTGTCTCTCTGTGTCTCTCTGTGTCTCTCAGTGTCTCTCAGAGTCTCTCTGTGTCTCTCAGAGTCTCTCAGAGTCTCTCAGAGTCTCTCAGTGTCTCTCAGAGTCTCTCAGAGTCTCTCAGTGTCTCTCAGAGTCTCTCTGTGTCTCTCTGTGTCTCTCAGTGTCTCTCTGTGTCTCTCAGTGTCTCTCAGAGTCTCTCAGCGTCTCTCTGTGTCTCTCAGAGTCTCTCTGTGTCTCTCAGCGTCTCTCAGAGTCTCTCAGTGTCTCTCAGAGTCTCTCAGCGTCTCTCAGCGTCTCTCAGAGTCTCTCAGCGTCTCTCAGAGTCTCTCAGAGTCTCTCTGTGTCTCTCAGAGTCTCTCTGTGTCTCTCAGAGTCTCTCAGTGTCTCTCAGAGTCTCTCAGTGTCTCTCAGTGTCTCTCTGTGTCTCTCAGAGTCTCTCTGTGTCTCTCAGAGTCTCTCAGTGTCTCTCAGAGTCTCTCAGAGTCTCTCAGTGTCTCTCTGTGTCTCTCAGAGTCTCTCAGTGTCTCTCAGAGTCTCTCAGTGTCTCTCTGTGTCTCTCAGAGTCTCTCAGAGTCTGTGTCTCTCTGTGTCTCTCAGTGTCTCTCTGTGTCTCTCAGAGTCTCTCTGTGTCTCTCAGAGTCTCTCAGTGTCTCTCAGAGTCTCTCAGTGTCTCTCAGTGTCTCTCTGTGTCTCTCAGAGTCTCTCTGTGTCTCTCAGAGTCTCTCAGTGTCTCTCAGCGTCTCTCAGAGTCTCTCAGTGTCTCTCAGAGTCTCTCAGCGTCTCTCAGCGTCTCTCAGAGTCTCTCTGTGTCTCTCAGAGTCTCTCTGTGTCTCTCAGAGTCTCTCTGTGTCTCTCAGAGTCTCTCTGTGTCTCTCAGAGTCTCTCAGAGTCTCTCAGTGTCTCTCTGTGTCTCTCAGAGTCTCTCAGTGTCTCTCAGAGTCTCTCAGTGTCTCAGAGTCTCTCAGTGTCTCTCTGTGTCTCTCAGAGTCTCTCAGAGTCTGTGTCTCTCAGTGTCTCTCAGTATCTCTCTGTGTCTCTCAGTGTCTCTCAGCGTCTCTCAGAGTCTCTCAGCGTCTCTCAGTGTCTCTCAGAGTCTCTCAGTGTCTCTCAGCGTCTCTCAGCGTCTCTCAGAGTCTCTCAGAGTCTCTCAGTGTGTCTCCCAATGTCTCTCAGCGTCTCTCAGAGTCTCTGTGTCTCTCAGTGTCTCTCAGTGTCTCTCAGCGTCTCTCAGCGTCTCTCAGAGTCTCTCAGAGTCTCTCAGCGTCTCTCAGCGTCTCTCAGAGTCTCTCAGAGTCTCTCAGTGTCTCTCAGAGTCTCTCTGTGTCTCTCAGTGTCTCTCAGTGTCTCTCAGCGTCTCTCAGCGTCTCTCAGAGTCTCTCAGTGTCTCTCAGCGTCTCTCAGCGTCTCTCAGAGTCTCTCAGAGTCTCTCAGTGTCTCTCAGAGTCTCTCTGTGTCTCTCAGAGTCTCTCAGTGTCTCTCAGAGTCTCTCAGTGTTTCTCTGTGTCTCTCAGTGTCTCTCAGTGTCTCTCTGTGTCTCTCTGTGTCTCTCAGTGTCTCTCTGTGTCTCTCAGAGTCTCTCAGTGTCTCTCAGTGTCTCTCAGTGTCTCTCTGTGTCTCTCTGTGTCTCTCAGAGTCTCTCAGTGTCTCTCAGTGTCTCTCAGAGTCTCTCAGTGTCTCTCAGAGTCTCTCAGAGTCTCTCAGTGTCTCTCTGTGTCTCTCAGAGTCTCTCAGCGTCTCTCAGAGTCTCTCAGCGTCTCTCAGAGTCTCTCAGCGTCTCTCAGCGTCTCTCAGCGTCTCTCAGAGTCTCTCAGTGTCTCTCTGTGTCTCTCAGAGTCTCTCAGTGTCTCTCAGCGTCTCTCAGAGTCTCTCAGTGTCTCCCAGTGTCTCTCAGCGTCTCTCAGTTTCTCTCAGAGTCTCTCAGAGTATCTCAGTGTCTCAGCGTCTCTCAGAGTCTCTCAGCGTCTCTCAGTGTCTCCCAGTGTCTCTCAGCGTCTCTCAGCATCTCTCAGTGTCTCTCAGAGTCTTTCAGCTGATTTAAACATCCAGCGGTGCACAAATCTCCTTCAGCATGTGTGAAGCCCATAAAGCTGCAGACGCTGCCAAGAACGCTGCTTATTGAACCTGCACGAGCCAAAACACATAAAACTCTCTCCCCACTCAGCGCCGATGAAAGGTGCTCTGACGCCCTGTAAGAGAAGCTAAACGAGAAACGGGACGCTTGTCGCCGGGCATGCTGGGATAGAGCGAAGCTGATTGGCTGCTGAGAGACTCAAGGACGTTCAAGCCAAAGGTTTATGGAATCAAACGACAACTGTCTTCATAATATAACACAACCTCATACCCAGTGTTGCAGAAGTAACTCCTGCATTATTGACTTGCTGTTTTATTTTTAGCCTAATTCTGGAGGAGGGACGAAACATTATATAAAACACCCCCTGCATGATTCATTATTTACAACACTTTAACATTTATGATTACACACTCAGAAACGGGGGAGGAGAAACGCAAAATATTACTGGAAGGTGTGTGTGTGTGTGTTTTCTGAACCACTGGGGTTTTGAGATACACACACACAGACACACTCACATGCTCTCTCACACACTCTCTCTCTCTCACACACACACTCTGAGGAGGAAACGTTCAGTGTTTGACTTTAGGAGTAAAATAAGACTGCAAGAGAAAGTGAGATGAGACGGAGAGATAGTTTGAGTCTGTGTGTGTGTGTGTGTGTGTGTGTGTGTGTGTGTGTGTGTGTGTGTGTGTGTGTGTGTGTGTGTGTGTGTGTGTGTGTGAAGCATGAAGAGATTCGTCCACAGCACACGAAACACAACAACTTTAAACAAAAGTCAAGATTTTATAACACTCAGTATAAAGGCCACCGTTCTCGATCACATCAGCATTATCCAGGTGTCTTGCAGAAGGTGTGTGTGAGTTCAGGAGTGTGTTGAAGTGTGTTTCTAGTCTCACCTCAGCTAGTTTGTACGGCACAATCAGTCTCTCTCCCACCGTCACCGTCTTGCGTGTCGTCAGAGCCTCGAAAAGCATCTCCTCCTTCACCTGGGCATCAAAACAAACACAAACCATGACAACTGCACATTTTAACACAACGCTTTACTCTGCAAATAAATCTGTGTTTGGACAATATGTGAATAAAATGTTGGGATGTTCAGCATAAACACTGGGAAATTTCATGAAAAACACACCGACAGACACGTTTGCTTGTCTTAGCGTGCAAGTGTTTCCTTATAAAAGCCTTGAATGCATATAAAATCACATTTTGTCCTATTAAATCACATGAACTCTCATAAAAATGTGTTTTAGTGCTTTGTGTGTGTAATGGTGTGTTTTCTGCGGTGGGAAAATCCCTTTCCACCAATATATTAAATAAACTAAAATATTGTAAAAAAGAAAATATAAAACGAGGAAGCTAAAGCTCATAAAGATGAAAAACCTTGTCAATAAACTGAACTTCAGTACAAAGGCTCGTGCAGCCAGAGTAAATCCAGCGTCTTATTGCAACGGTGTGTGTTTAGCAGGAAGGTGTTGGACGACCATCAACAGACAGCAGTATAAATAAAATAAAATAAAATAAAATAATAAAATAAAATAAAATAAAATAAAATAAAATAAAATAAAATAAAAAATAAATAAAAAATAAAATAAAATAAATAAATAAATAAATAAAATAAAATAAGTTGGACAAAGTATTAAGGGTTAAAATAAATAATTAAAAACAGACTAAGTTTATCAAAACATTGCAAGTTAATAAAATAAAATAAATAAGTTGGACAAAGGATTAAGCATTAAAATAAATAATTAAAAACAGACTAAGTTTATCAAAACATTGCAAATAAATTACAAAAAATTTAAATAAATAAATAAAATAAGTTGGACCAAGTATTAAGCGTTAAAATAAATAAATAAATAAAATAAATAATTAAAAACAGACTAAGTTTATCAAAACATTGCAAGTTAATAAAATAAAATAAAAGTGTTGAACGAAATATAAAGCGTTAAAATAAATAATTAAAATAATTAAATAAAATAATTAAAATAAAAAAATAATAAATAATTATAATAAATAATTTAAAACAGACTAAGTTTATCAAAACATTGCAAGTTAATAAAAAAAAAAAAAGTGTTGAACGAAATATAAAGTGTTTAAATAAATAATAATAATTTTTATTTTATTTTAAATAATAAAAATAATAAAAATAATAATAATTATAATAAATAATTTAAAACAGACTAAGTTTAATCAAAACATTGCAAGTTAATAAAAATAAATAAATAAAAATAAAATAAATAAAAGTCCCCATGAAATGAGTATCGGTAGAGAACGGCGTCCTCGGCCGGCTCACCTCCAGCAGCTCCGAGACGATGGGCAGCACCTCCGGGTTGCAGATATCGATGGAGTCGTCTCGGTACGTCTTCTTCTTGTAGCGGATGTTCCCCAGGTGAAGGATCGCAGACAGCAAAGAAAAGATTCTGCAGAAAACATCTCTGAATGAGTCAAACGTCGCAATAAAGGAAAGAAAACTGACAATAGTGATGGAGGATATGCAGTGACGTCAGTCTCCCGCAGGACTGAGTGGCAGAAGAGCTGCGGCGACTGGAGTTAACTGGGAAAACACACCATTATCAGTTTAAACTAAAGCTTGGACTCGATGTAGTGTTCATTACGACTCACCACAGATCCAGTGATCGTGGATATTGACATACAGCCAGAAATCATGTTTCCTCACATTAAAATGAGCCTGATGTCGACGCCGGGGAAATACATACAGCTAATTACTGTGAACGCTTTATAGAAATACAATATATCGTCACCTTCCTAAAATAATTGCCCAAGTCATTTATTTTAGGAAGGTGACGATATGTAGATCTAAATCCATGTGATCACTCATATCAATGTTATATAGATCATCATATCGCCAGCCCTAAAACTTGTGTAGCTTCTTGTCAGTGTTAATTTAAAAACGTCCAATAATGCAGAATATGAGTAATGCACTAAATAGGGAGTGCACTAGATAGGGAGTGCACTAGATAGGAGTGCACTAAATAGGGAGTGCACTAGATAGGGAGTGCACTAGATAGGAGTGCACTAAATAGGGAGTGCACTAGATAGGGAGTGCACTAGATAGGAGTGCACTAGATAGGAGTGCACTAAATAGGGAGTGCACTAGATAGGGAGTGCACTAGATAGGAGTGCACTAGATAGGAGTGCACTAAATAGGGAGTGCACTAGATAGGGAGTGCACTAGATAGGAGTGCACTAGATAGAGAGTGGACTAGATAGGGACTAGATAGGAGTGCACTAGATAGGGAGTGCATTAGATAGGGAGTGCATTAGATAGGGAGTGCACTAGATAGGGAGTGCACTAGATAGGAGTGCACTAAATAGGGAGTGCACTAGATAGGGAGTGCACTAGATAGGAGTGCACTAGATAGAGAGTGGACTAGATAGGGACTAGATAGGAGTGCACTAGATAGGGAGTGCATTAGATAGGGATTAGATCTGGAGTGCACTAGATAGGGAGTGCACTAGATAGGGAGTGCACTAGATAGGGACTAGATAGGAGTGCATTAGATAGGGAGTGCACTAGATAGGGACTAGATAGGAGTGCACTAGATAGGGACTAGATAGGAGTGCACTAGATAGGGAGTGCACTAGATAGGGACTAGATCTGGAGTGCAGTAGATAGGGAGTGCATTAGATAGGGACTAGATCTGGAGTGCAGTAGATAGGGAGTGCACTAGATAGGGACTAGATAGGGAGTGCACTAGATAGGGACTAGATAGGGAGTGCACTAGATAGGGAGTGCACTAGATAGGGACTAGATAGGAGTGCATTAGATAGGGACTAGATCTGGAGTGCAGTAGATAGGGAGTGCACTAGATAGGGACTAGATAGGAGTGCACTAGATAGGGACTAGATAGGAGTGCACTAGATAGGGACTAGATCTGGAGTGCAGTAGATAGGGAGTGCATTAGATAGGGACTAGATCTGGAGTGCAGTAGATAGGGAGTGCACTAGATAGGGACGAGATAGGGAGTGCACTAGATAGGGACTAGATAGGAGTGCACTAGATAGGGAGTGCATTAGATAGGGATTAGATCTGGAGTGCACTAGATAGGAGTGCACTAGATAGGGAGTGCATTAGATAGGGATTAGATCTGGAGTGCACTAGATAGGAGTGCACTAGATAGGGAGTGCACTAGATAGGGAGTGCACTAGATAGGAGTGCACTAGATAGGAGTGCACTAGATAGGAGTGCATTAGATAGGGAGTGCATTAGATAGGGATTAGATCTGGAGTGCACTAGATAGGAGTGCACTAGATAGGGAGTGCATTAGATAGGGATTAGATCTGGAGTACACTAGATAGGGAGTGCACTAGATAGGGACTAGATAGGAGTGCATTAGATAGGGACTAGATCTGGAGTGCAGTAGATAGGGAGTGCACTAGATAGGGACTAGATAGGAGTGCACTAGATAGGGAGTGCACTAGATAGGGACTAGATAGGAGTGCACTAGATAGGGACTAGATAGGAGTGCACTAGATAGGGAGTGCACTAGATAGGGACTAGATAGGAGTGCACTAGATAGGGAGTGCACTAGATAGGGACTAGATAGGAGTGCACTAGATAGGGACTAGATAGGAGTGCACTAGATAGGGAGTGCACTAGATAGGGACTAGATAGGAGTGCACTAGATAGGGAGTGCACTAGATAGGGAGTACACTAGATAGGGAGTGCACTCGATAGGGAGTGCACTAGATATATCATCATATCGTCCAGCCCTAAAACTTGTGTAGTTTTTTGTCAGTGTTTATTTAAAAACGTCCAATAATGCACAATATACGATGGTAAATATTTTGAGCACAATATACGAGTTGTCAATACAATATATAACAATACAATATAGGGTATTGATTTTACCGCTAAATTCAGCGTATTGACCCACAATGAAAACTGCAAATCCAGCTTTCTCTGCCTGAGTCCAGTTGTTTCTGTGAATCACAGCGATTCATTTGTGTCTCTGTTCTGTATCTTTCCTCAGTATGTACAAATGTACCTCAGATTTATTGTCAAATCTAGTTGTACAGTCGATCTGGAAAACTCTTTCCCGCTTTAGATGAGCTTGTGTGTTTATTTACTCTGAAAACCAATGCTGGCGCTCAGTGTGTGTGACCCCAGTGACTCCGCCCTCTGTTGTCCTGTCAGCCAATCAGGAGCCAGCAAACCTGAATGCACAATATGATTGACAGGCAGAGAGTGTTTTAAAACTCACAGTTTCCTGGTGGCGGGAAGGAAGCCCACCATCTCCATGGCCAGCTGGAGTCTCTCGAAGTCATGCTTCAGATCCTCTCCCTCCACCGCGAAACAGTCCTGCCACACACACACACACACCTCGGATTAATAATAAGCTTTAAATGAAGACGTGAATCGTTCGAAAAGCAGCAGAGCGTGCGAGGAAAGCCGCAGCACAGAAACAGAAGTGTGCAGAGGAAGTGATGCGGTGAGAGAGACAGGACTTCCTGTTGACCCTAATAATAACTAATAATGATTCACATCTCTGGCTTTAGCGACTGGATCATTGATAATCGTGCGTTTGGTGTTGGTGTGTTAAATTAAACAATATAAAATAGTCAAATAAAATAAAAATTAAATAAAGTAAAATAATAAGAAAGAAAGAAAGAAAGAAAGAAAGAAAGAAAGAAAGAAAGAAAGAAAGAAAGAAAGAAAGAAAGAAAGAAAGAAAGAAAGAAAGAAAGAAAAATGCAATAAAATGCAATAAAATTAGAAACAATATAAAATAGTCAAATAAAATAAAAATTAAATAAAGTAAAATAATAAGAAAGAAAGAAAGAAAGAAAGAAAGAAAGAAAGAAAGAAAGAAAGAAAGAAAGAAAGAAAGAAAGAAAGATGCAATAAAATTAGAAATAATATAAAATAGTAAATTAAAATTAAATTAAGTAAAAAAATAAAAATAAAAAAAATAAAAAAAAGAATTATTGTTTAAAAGATTATCGATTGGATCATTAATAATCGTGTGTTTTGTGTTGGGCGATTGTTTTAAGAGCCGGATCTCAGGGTTTCTGGCCCGGTTATGGTCTCTGAATCTGTGACGGTAAAGCCAGTTTCTCAGATCAGGTGTTGATCCTGTTTACAGCCGTTTACAGCCGTTTAAACCCGTTTACACCCGTTAACACCCGTTTACACCCGTTTACCCCGTTTACAGCCGTTTACCCCGTTTAAACCCGTTTACAGCCGTTTAAAACCCGTTTACACCCGTTAACACCCGTTTACACCCGTTTACAGCCGTTTACACCCGTTTACAGCCGTTTACACCCGTTTACACCCGTTTACCCCGTTTACAGCCGTTTACAGCCGTTTACACCCGTTTACAGCCGTTTACACCCGTTTACACCCGTTTACCCCGTTTACAGCCGTTTACACCCGTTTACACCCGTTTACAGCCGTTTAAACCCGTTTACACCCGTTTACACCCGTTTACAGCCGTTTACACCCCTTTACACCCGTTTACACCCGTTTACAGCCGTTTAAACCCGTTTACACCCGTTTACACCCGTTTACCCCGTTTACAGCCGTTTACACCCGTTTACAGCCGTTTACACCCGTTTACACCCGTTTACCCCGTTTACAGCCGTTTACACCCGTTTACACCCGTTTACACCCGTTTACAGCCGTTTACACCCGTTTACACCCGTTTACACCCGTTTACCCCGTTTACAGCCGTTTACAGCCGTTTACAGCCGTTTACGTTTACACCCGTTTACACCCCTTTAAACCCGTTTACAGCCGTTTACACCCGTTTACACCCCCGTTTACAGACGTTTACAGCCGTTTACACCCGTTTACACCCGTTTAAAGCCGTTTACACCCGTTTACACCCCCCCGTTTACACCCCCGTACACCCGTTTAAAGCCGTTTACAGCCGTTTACACCCGTTTATAGCCGTTTACAGCCGTTTATAGCCGTTTACAGCCGTTTAAAGCCGTTTAAAGCCGTTTACACCCGTTTACACCCCAGTACACCCATTTACACCCCCCCGTTTACACCCCCGTACACCTGTTTACAGCCGTTTACAGCCGTTTACAGCCGTTTATAGCCGTTTAAACCCGTTTACAGCCGTTTACAGCCGTTTACACCCCCGTTTACAGCCGTTTACACCCCAGTTTACACCCCAGTTTACACCCAAGTTTACAGCCGTTTACACCGGTCCGAGAACCAGGAGAAGCACGCGAGTCTGCTCTCGGCACTGATGATGAATACAAACAGCTTAAAACAGCGAGCAGAACTGCTGCGTGTGTGTGTGTGTGTGTGTGTGTGTGTGGCTTCAGTGGGCGGAGAGCACACATAGAAAACAGGAAACGATACGCTTTCACTCAATTCCACAGGACAAAAATATCACAATTAAAAATAAATCAAATCAAATAGAAATATAAAACAATATTATTAATTAATTAATTAAGTATTTTAAATTAAATAGTAAAATAAAATAAAAACTATAAATACAATATAGTAAAATAAAAAAATAAAAAGAAACAAACAAACAATAAAAATAGAATAGTCAAATAAAATACAAAATAAAAATGAAATAAAGTAAATAAAAATAATAAATAAAATATAAACAAAATAATATATATATATTAGGGCTGGGCAAGTTAACGCGTTATTATCGCGTTTACGCATTTATTAATTAATGCCGACAATTTTTTTATCGCACGGTAACGCAGTTTTTTTATTTTGAAAGTCCGTTGCACACTGGCTCTGAATAGGACATAGGCCTACAGTCAAACCATGGATCACAGGACGGGTGGGATGTTGGTCAGCCAGCAAATAACCCACCCAAACAAGCGAGCATGACCGCAACAGTTTCACAGAACGCACCCGCTTGTCGCTGCACCTTGTGCTCGACCAATTGACCTCACTCTAGGCTGATTTATACTTCTGTGTGTGTCGGACTTACGCTATACACTACGCGTTGGTTGGTTTTACTTCTGCGTCGTTGTCCGCGTTGACGCGCAATTACACATGCAGAGGGAGCACGTGAAACCCGGGGAGCGGTTCTAGCAAACACAGCGCTTGCGGTACGCGTAGAATTGACGCGTCGTTAAATTTTTGGAGAGGTGCACGTCAGGGTACGACGTAATTTCGACGCAGAAGTATAAATTGGGCTTTACCTCTGTTTAATGCAATCTTAGTGTACGTGGGAAACCATGGCATGACCAAACCTAAGCTACTATCAGAGAAGTAACGTTGGTCGACTTATATCTCATGACCTCTGACTACATAGACTGTTTCTGCTGCTAAAAGACACCTGTTGATAGAAAAAAAACAAGAAAACTGGACTCGTTTTAACAAGCTAGATAAAAGGTAATGCCCTGGCATGTGGCATAGCTTTGTTTTAATATTTGATTTGATTACATTAATGTTTAAGTTGAGATTTACAATAAATATTTTATTGCTGTGTAAAGGGAATACTGCTGGTATAAAGCACCTTATTTGTTTAAAGTTTTTGCAAACCACATGTTATTACACTTTTGTGTATATAGCAGTACATTTAAATCAAAAGTGATTAATACACTACTTTAGAATTCATTATTAAAGTTTGCGCGTAACAATGCGATTAATCGCGATAAAAAATTTTAATCGTTGCCCAGCACTAATATATATATATATATATATAAATAAAATATATAACTATATATATATACAATAAAAGTTAAATAAAATAAAAATAAATAAAATAAGAAAAAATAGAAAAATAAAATATAGAAAAAATCGAAAAAAGAAATTAACAAATAAAATAAATACAGAAATAAAATATTTTAGTAATAAGTAATAAATTAAAAGAAAAAGGGGAGGGCACTACTTAGGGACTACATTGGAGTGCACTAGATAGGGAGTGCACTAGATAGTCAAACACACACACACACACACACACACACACACAAGCAGCAGAAACACTGAAGACAAACACACACACACACACTCACACACACACCAGCAGCAGCAGAAACACTGAAGACAATCACACACACACGAGTTGAAAATGGAGTAGATAGGGAGTACAATAGATAGTGAGTACACTAGATAGTGCACTAGGTAGGGAGTGCACTAGATAGGGAGCACCTATACTCCCTATCTACTCTCACACACACAAACACACCAGCAGCAGCAGAAACACTGAATACAAACACACACACACACACACACACTAGTTGGAAATGGAGTAGATAGGGAGCAGTGCACTAGATAGGGAGGGGAGTACACTAGATAGGGAGTGCACTAGATAGGGAGCAGTGCACTAGATAGGGAGTGCATTAGATAAGGAGTGCACTAGATAAGGAGTGCACCAGATAAGGAGTGCACTAGGTAGGGAGTGCACTAGGTAGGGAGTGCACTAGATAAGGAGTGCACTAGATAAGGAGTGCACTAGATAAGGAGTGCACTAGATAAGGAGGGCACTAGGTAGGGAGTGCACTAGGTAGGGAGTGCACTAGGTAGGGAGTGCACTAGGAAGGGAGTGCACTAGATAAGGAGTGCACTAGATAAGGAGTGCACTAGATAAGGAGTGCACTAGATAAGGAGGGCACTAGGTAGGGAGTGCACTAGGTAGGGAGTGCACTAGGTAGGGAGTGCACTAGGAAGGGAGTGCACTAGATAAGGAGTGCACTAGATAGGGAGTGCACTAGATAAGGAGTGCACTAGATAGGGAGTGCCCTAGATAGGGAGTGCACTAGGTAGGGAGTGCACTAGATAGGGAGTGCACTAGGTCTGGTGCCAGAACAGAGCTGCTGTTAAACTGATTTACTACACACTCAATTCTCTGTGTGTTGACTAATAAATTAAGTGACTGTCTTCATCAAGCACTGCTAATCAGGTTTGGTCGTTTACCCAGAACACACACACACACAGAACAGAAGATGTGAACTAACACACACACACACACGATACTGACCAGCTCAGTCTCATAGTAATTTCCCCAGTGCTGTCTGTGGACTGTCTTTGTTATCTGGAAGACAGACAGACGATTATGAGCTGCAGACAGGATCATCTGTCACACACACACACACACACACACACACACACGCACAGTCGCACACACACACACACACAAAAACACTCACTCACCTACTGTACACACTCTCGCGCACACACACTCACTCACTCTCACACACTCACTCAACACACATTCACTCGCTTACTGTACACACTCTCGCGCAAACACACTCACTCACTCTCACACACACACTCTTGCACTCACACACACAGGCACACACACACACTCACATAAAAACACACTCAATCACTTACTGTACACACTCTCGCACACTCACTCACTCACTCTCACACACACACACTCTCGCACACACACACACACACACACACACACTACATCAATGAAACATGCAGTTACAGGAACAGAGGTAATAATTCAAGTTATAATTCAGTTATTGAACTGAATCTGGTCATAATTTCTTCAATTCAACTGCATTAGATAAAATATCAAACCAACCAAGTGTAATTTATTGTAAAGAAAGATGCAACTGCATAATAGTTTGAGTTTGAAATGCTAAAACAACAGTTGTTTTATTCTAACAGTATCGTGTGACTGTAAACCAGGAAAATAAATCAGTCAACAGCTCTTGCTTTTGAATTCTGAGTAAATATGGTTTGATAATTAATGAAATAAATTAATAATTAATATAGTTTTTTATAATACAATATGGTACATTTCAAAATAAGTATAACATTTTGTTATTTTTAAATTGTATAATTTTATTAAAGTTTAAATATATTGAAAAAATAATAATAGTAATTTTTAAAAAGTGCAAAATATGTTGTATATATTATTTGTTATTAAATTGTATTTAATCAGAATTTTGAATAAATATATTAAATATATAAAATAATTGTGAAATATTTTGTCTACATATTATTTATCATTAAATTGTATAATATATTTCAGCACTATATCAACTTTCTGGAAATGTTGTCCTCGCTGGCCGAACACTAACTGAATGTTCACTGTCAGTGTGATGTGTTTTTACACTCCTAGTAAAGACACTTTCTGATGAAACACACACACTTACAGTAGATCCACACACACACAATAAGATTTCATTCTAGAAATATTTATGCTAGATATTACACAAATATTACACACATCACGTGTGTGTGTGTGTGTGTGTGTGTGTGCGCGCGAATGTGTGTGTATGTGTGTTCATGTGTATACGTGTGTATGTGTGTTCATGTGTATACGTGTGTGTGTGCGTGTGAGAGTGTGTGCGTGTGTGTGTGTGTGTGTGTGTGTGTGTGTGTGTGTGTGTGTGTGTGTGTGTGTGTGTGTGTGCGCGTGTGTGTGAATAGACTGGAGTCATAAGAGGGCTTCTGCACGCGACCAGCAGTCTGTTCCCTCGGATACGGATGCTGACGACTGTCACCATGGCAACAGCGGCACCCGGCAACAGCCTCAGCATCCTCCAGCTCTGTGTGTTGCCAGGGATTACGGGGCAGAAATGAGCTTAGAGGATGTTTTTCTATTGTAGAAACGTCGTAACGAACAAAGACAGACGCAGCACCGCTGCTATTATGGTCTGTACCTGGTTGAGGTAATGATACTCCTCTGGTTGGAGAAGATGAAATGATTTTCTTTCTTCTTCACTCGCTCCGGCCAGCAGGTAGTAAAACACATGATAGTTCCTGCGAGAGACCACGACACTCATATTAATGTGCTTTAAATAATAACAACAAACCACAGGTTTGCATCATGTGGTTTGCGCACCTCTCGTTGTGCTCCTGATACACCAGACGGGACTTCTCCAGAAGATACTTCTCCACATACGCTCTGAAATCAACAATGGGGAAATTATTATACAAATATATTCATCACACATTATGCATTTTATTTCGAGTTATCGTTCCCGTCCAGGGCCGTTCGTGTCTATAAGACTATATTCATCCAGTCCTGAAATGTATCAATAACAAGTAGTTTAATCCAATTCAAATGGACTATTTCACCCCATGTCTGTGTGTTATGTGGATGATGTGCATAAAAAAAATCTAAATATCATTAAAACATATATTTAAAATTTAGTTTAAAAATATTTACAAAATATTTAAAAAAAAAACATTTTAAAAAATAAATAAATAACTATATAATTTAAAAAAATTAATATATATATTTAGAGATATATTTACAATATTATAAAATAGTTAAATTATATAAAAATATATATATTTATATATTTATATGTACATATAAACTCTTAAAATTATATAAAAATTTAGAGTTAAATAGTTTTAAATAATTTAAAATATTAATATATTAAAAACAAATAATTTAAATTAAAAAACTAATTAATAATATATTTTTACAAATTAATAAATTAAGAAATATATTTCAGATGATTATAAAATATATTTAAGTAATATTTTAATATTTAATTAATTAATTAAAAATGTGTTAGTTTAAAATATAGATATATTAAAAATATTGAAATATTATTGAAATATTAAAAAAATAAAAACACTTAAAATTTGCTCACATTTTCATTAGTTTAAGAAGTTTTAACTAGTTTAAAACATGAATATATATAAACATATATTCTCTAAAATCTCCCATGTTGCACGACAGTATATTTCCGTGGTTGTCGAGAGAGGCGTCTCACCCCCGGACGGTCCCGCTCTCCTGGTAGTTGACTTGAATGAACTTGCCGAAGCGGCTGGAGTTATTATTATGGGCTGTTTTAGCGTTTCCAAAAGCCTGAGGAGGAAAGAACAAACACACATTAAAGGACAAGAACATGCACATCTCCCTCAGCCCAACATCTGGAAGCATCTGGATCCCGCAGAGCACGGGTTACGCTTCATCACTGCAGAACGAGACGACACACACTCTCAGTCTCAGCGCTGCAGACGTCTGAGTAAACCACTCATCTCCTCACTCACTCTCTCACTCACTCTCTCACACACTCTCTCACTCTCTCTCACACACTCTCTCACACACTCTCTCACTCTCTCTCTCACACACTCTCTCACTCACTCTCTCACTCTCTCTCTCACACTCTCTCACACACTCTCTCACACACTCTCTCACACACTCTCTCACACACTCTCACACACTCTCTCTCTCTCTCACACTCTCTCACTCTCTCTCTCACACTCTCTCACACACTCTCTCACACACTCTCTCACACTCTCTCACACACTCTCTCACACACTCTCTCACACACTCTCTCACACACTCTCTCACACACTCTCTCACACACTCTCTCACACACTCTCTCACACACTCTCTCACACACTCTCTCACACTCTCTCACACTCTCTCACTCTCTCTCTCACACACTCTCTCACACACTCTCTCACACTCTCTCTCACACACTCTCACACACTCTCTCACACACTCTCTCACTCTCTCTCTCACACTCTCTCACACACTCTCTCACACACTCTCTCACACTCTCTCACACTCTCTCACACCTCTCTCACACACTCTCTCACTCTCTCTCTCACACACTCTCTCACACACTCTCTCACACACTCTCTCACACACTCTCTCACACACTCTCTCACACACTCTCTCACACACTCTCTCACACACTCTCTCACACACTCTCTCACACACTCTCTCACACACTCTCTCACACACTCTCTCACTCTCTCTCACACACTCTCTCACACACTCTCTCACACACTCTCTCACACACTCTCTCACTCTCTCTCTCACACACTCTCTCACTCTCTCTCTCACACACTCTCTCACACTCTCTCTCACTCTCTCTCTCACACACTCTCTCACACACTCTCTCACTCTCTCTCTCACACACTCTCTCACTCTCTCTCTCACACACTCTCTCACTCTCTCTCTCTCACACACTCTCTCACACACTCTCTCACTCTCTCTCACTCTCTCTCTCACACACTCTCTCACTCTCTCTCTCACACACTCTCTCACACACTCTCTCACACACTCTCTCACACACTCTCTCACACACTCTCTCACACACTCTCTCACACACTCTCTCACACACTCTCTCCCACACTCTCACACACTCTCTCACACACTCTCTCACTCTCTCTCTCACACACTCTCTCACACACTCTCTCACTCTCTCTCTCACACACTCTCTCACACACTCTCTCTCACACACTCTCTCACACACTCTCTCACTCTCTCTCTCACACACTCTCTCACACACTCTCTCACACACTCTCTCACACACTCTCTCACACACTCTCTCACACACTCTCTCACACACTCTCTCACACACTCTCTCACTCTCTCTCTCACACACTCTCTCACTCTCTCTCTCACACACTCTCTCACACACTCTCTCACACACTCTCTCAGACACTCTCTCACACACTCTCTCACTCTCTCTCTCACACACACACTCTCTCACTCTCTCTCTCACACACTCTCTCACTCTCTCTCTCACACACTCTCTCACACACTCTCTCACACACTCTCTCACTCACTCTCTCACACACTCTCTCACTCTCTCTCTCACACACTCTCTCACACACTCTCTCACTCTCTCTCTCACACACTCTCTCACTCTCTCTCTCACACTCTCTCTCACACACTCTCTCACACACTCTCTCACTCTCTCTCTCACACACTCTCTCACTCTCTCTCTCACACACTCTCTCACACACTCTCTCACACACTCTCTCACACACTCTCTCACTCTCTCTCTCACACACTCTCTCACACACTCTCTCACTCTCTCTCTCACACACTCTCTCACTCTCTCTCTCACACACTCTCTCACACACTCTCTCACACACTCTCTCACACACTCTCTCACACACTCTCTCACACACTCTCTCACACACTCTCTCACACACTCTCTCACTCTCTCTCTCACACACTCTCTCACACACTCTCTCACACACTCTCTCACACACTCTCTCACACACTCTCTCACACACACTCTCTCACACACTCTCTCACTCTCTCTCTCACACACTCTCTCACTCTCTCTCTCACACACTCTCTCACACACTCTCTCACACACTCTCTCACACACTCTCTCACACACTCTCTCACACACTCTCTCACTCTCTCTCTCACACACTCTCTCACTCTCTCTCTCACACACTCTCTCACTCTCTCTCTCACACACTCTCTCACACACTCTCTCACACACTCTCTCACACACTCTCTCACACACTCTCTCACTCTCTCTCTCACACACTCTCTCACACACTCTCTCACTCTCTCTCTCACACACTCTCTCACACACTCTCTCACTCTCTCTCTCACACACTCTCTCACACACTCTCTCACACACTCTCTCACACACTCTCTCACACACTCTCTCACACACTCTCTCACACACTCTCTCACACACTCTCTCACACACTCTCTCACTCTCTCTCTCACACACTCTCTCTCTCTCACACACTCTCTCACTCTCTCTCTCACACACTCTCTCTCTCACACAC